AAAAAAAAAAAAAAAAAAAGACAGTAACCCCTTCGGATTTTGTTTCACTTTATTAAACCTAAGACTGAGAGAATTAACTCCAACATTATGAAGGCTAAATTAGTAGGAGAGCTTGAAAGCCGGAGTGCTCACGGACAGGAAGAGCACAGACAGAATCCCGCTCGGTAATTTATCAAGGTAGCAGCCTGGATGGGCGACGTCCCCGCAGCTTCCCTCCACTGTGACGTCCAGAGGAGACAGCTGCCAGACGCTGGGGTAGGCAGCAGCTTTCACGCCAGCCTGAAACCCGAATTTTGCTCAAGAGAGTGTAACTCTCCGGGAACGGAAGCGGAGGGTGGTTGGCGGTATTTCTCTCTCTGCCCTTCATGTGTCCTTCCTTGCCTCCCTCCTCCGGAGAGGCAAGGTCTGAAGACTTCTTCGTCTGTTTCAAAGCGTCATTTAAAAAAAAAAAAAAAAAAAAAACCCTCACCCTGTACTTCTTTATTTTTTTAAGACAGTTGTCTCAATTTCGGGCTTGCTGAAACGCAGAGTAGGTCAGACTGGAATCACTGGACTAGAGGTCATTTGAGCTGTGATTGCACACCTCCCTCCCTTAAGGTGGAAAAGGCTGTTCATCGCAGCCTTTCTTGTTGGAAAGTAAATTCTGGCTCCTCCTCCCTCGCCCTCCATGCCTCTGACTGGTCTGTTCTCCTCCTCTCCCGGTCTTGAAATATTTGCATCAGTGAAACTGAAGGCGAATTTTTTAGCGTAAACCCACATCTATCTCTGATCTCTTAAACGGTATTTGAGCTGGAATAGAGTGGAGATTAGGCATGATTGTCTTCCGGCCAGGCTTATTTCTAAAAGCAGAGGGGAACTGCAGAAAAGGGAAGCTAAAGAGAAGTGGTGAGTGGCAGACAAATAAATAGGAGCTAGACGGACAGGTCGCAGGTCACCAGCAGGCGAATAGATGCACGCGCCTGCCATCCGATGTCGCGGCTAAGTGCGGGACAGCAGACATGTCCCCAGGGCACCGCTTCGCTCACCTCGGGAGCCCACGCGCGGGAGATCCCAGGAGGAATCCGCGTCTGGGTTCTGCACTGGCCGAAGGCAGGGCTGTGGCTGGCGGTGGAGCCGCACGGTCACCACGTCTCTCTGTCCGGCAGAACCCCGACATGGAGGTGGACGAGAACGGGACTCTGGACCTCAGCGTGAACAAGCCACGGCCGCGGGACAGCTGCTGCCCGGTCCTGACGCCCCTGGAGCCCATGTCCCCCCAGCGGCAGGCGGTGATGGGTGGCCGGTGTTTCCAGCTGGGCGAGGACGACTGCTGGGAGCTGCCCGTGGACTACACCAAGCTGAAGCCCCGCAGGGCGGACGGGGGCGACACCAGCGAGGCCCCCGTACGTCCCCCTCACCTGCCGGCCGGCTCGGGGCGCGGGGTCGGGCGTCAGCGGGCACCCGCGGGATGACCTCAGCTGACTGGGGCTGACCACGCGCTTCGTGGGCCAGGGAGAGATTTGTCACTAACACCGATTCGGTGACACAAACCACGGGTTCTTTCCGAGCGTGAATTTTATTTCCCAACAAGTGCGTTCAGTCACAAACGATTTCTCTGAGAAAAGACGTCAACAGCCAGCCAGCCCGTCCCTTTTTCTGGGTGACATGTTGCTACGATGCATGGTTTTCCCTGCAGATAGAGAATCCTAAGGAGAGTGTTAAGTATTTAAATGGTTAATTGTGTGCTGTTAATTAGCTGGCTCTTTGAAGCGAAGGCTCGTGCCTATTCCCAGAGAAACCTAAAATATTCAGAAGAGTAATATTCCAGCCCTGAGAAGTCGCTTTAGTATAATCGCCTAAATCTTCCTTGGCTGCAGTATTGCTAAAACAGCTATGTCGGGAACATACTTCTGAAGTACGGTGACCGGAAATTGTAGCTTTCCTGTGGAGACCTTCCTAAGCCAAATGGCACAAAGTGCAGAAGCAGTTACCAGTAATTTATATGGAATGTATTTTCAGCATCCCCAGACCCCAAAAATAACCTCTCGGGCTTTTCTCAACCCGAGGACACTTTGCGAAAGGGAAACGGCCTGAAACGAAGCCCAGGTGCTCACCTCTCAGCGGTCGGGGCCCTGGAGCCGGGCGCTGAGACGCTGCTGCGTGGGCCCTCGGGGGCAGGTGCGTGCCCGTCGGGGCGGCTCGCGCGGCCCGGGTGCAAGCCGCCGCTCCGACGGCCCTCCGCAAAACCAACACTGAGCGCTATTGCGTTTCTCGCCTCTTTTCCTAGAAGCACGAATCCTCTTTGGTTTCTTTCTGTTAGCAGAAGCAGGTACTAATGTGGGTCTTTCATGAGAGCAAAGTGGTGTGACGTGCGCTTTCGCCAAGTGGGGGAGACCTGTAGTCACAACGTTCACACTCAAGTTCCCCAAGTCGTGAAAATAGCCTCGAAGCTGAGAAAAGAAGCAAAGAAAAGGTTGTTCTTTATTGTCCCGGCTTTGTCTCCAGTGTTCAGTTCTGAAAATTATGACATCTTCTTTAGTCACTGGAAAATGAAAACCCTTTTTGAATACAAGAGGGAGACCACCATCAAAGCAATAGCTTCTTAGGGAAACAAGGTAGTGCAGAAAAAAAGGGAACATTAGCTATTTGTAAGAATTGGCAGAAAAGGCACCCGGTTATAAGGCCATTTCATCTCAAAGCCTATCGTCTTTATTCTTCAAAAATGATTAAATTTGATTAAATTGAAGCCACGCGTTGCCAAAGAATAGAGTCTGAGTGGCAAAAGCTAAATTCCAAAGTATTCTTTTCTCTCCTACGGTGTTAAATCATTACCGCCAAATAAGGCGTGATGGTTGAGTCTCCGAATTTATTTTAATTAAAATTAAGCCCTCCTAAACCGACAGAAGTGTTTTCATCAAACAGACCGTCCCAGAAGGAAAAAGTACTCGCGAGCATTCACGAGACACGTTTGCTGAGTACTGCCATCTATAGGCATTTCTTAGTTAGCGCAAGGGGACCCGCTTACCCAGGAGGAGACACTTTCCGTTGAAAAAGAAAATGTTGCATAAGAGTAACTGAGAACCACAACATTAATCTCAGTTGGTCTTCCCTCACCTTGGGACTTGACGCACGCGTGCAGAATGCTCACCGATGGTCGGAATAACTCTCGTTCCAGAACACGTGTAGGGTCAGTGTTTAAGCTTAGCAGGTCAGTGTCGGACACGGGTGCCGGACAGCAACAGGTGCTTGCTGGGCACCGAGTGAGAAAGGCCAACGAAGAAACAGGGTCTCTGGTTTCCGAACCATGTGTCTGTCCCTCTTATTAGTACCCCAACAGAAATATCGAGTGAGGCCCTGCCCCCCGACAGGTGACCGTGAATTTAGAAGTTTAGAGCGGTAGGTGAGCGGCTACGGTCCGCTCCGAAAGCGATAGTCTTTGAACAGAGCCCCGCTCCGCGCTTGCGGCAGGGGCCTCATCCGGACGAAGGCGTGGAATACCTTTAAAGGGACAGCGGTGGGAGGGGAGGAAAACGCAGGGGCGGCCGGCGCCCCAGCGGGACGCATCTGCGGTCGGTCTCTCACACTGTCGTCCGTGCGGCCCTGAAGCTGTGTTTTGCCCGCAGCCGGAAGACTTGGACCCATTCCAGGAGGCTCTGGAGGAGAGAAGGTACCCGGGAGAGGTGACCATCCCCAGCCCCAAGCCCAAGTACCCCCAGTGCAAGGACAGCAAAAAGGACTTAATAACGTAAGCATAACTCCAGGCGAGATGCCTGCTCTTCTCGACCGTCCCTTCCCTTGGCTTATTTTTAAAAACCGATCTGTACATGCCTTGCCGTTTGAGCATGCGACGTTCGCAGCATATAAATGTCTCAAACTGCCAGTTCAGCGGAGCGAGAAGCCGCGTGGCTTGCTTGTTCCCAGGACGCTCTGTGTGATGGAGACGCCTTCTACCATTTGGTCCGTGCCGTTTTTTGCAGCTTCCCTCAGGGCGCTTAACCCCCTCACAGACATTGCAGCTAAACTGGAAACAATGAAACTTTCTTAAAGTTTTTTTTTTTTTAAACCTACTTACTATTTTGGCTGTTTTTGTTTTTGTTTGGTGGCAGATGTCCAACACCAAGGTGTGATGGGAGTGGTCATGTGACTGGTAATTACGCCTCACATAGAAGGTGTGACTTCATTTTTTCTCATGGTGGATTCTGTCTTTTCAATTTATTGTTTTCAGCTTACCTCAACAATGCTGTCAAAGTAAAAACGTCGAATTACGTGTCAACCCTCTAAGTGCTCTATGTTGACCTATAAAATCGTGCTTGATTTACGTGTTGTATAGTGTCTTTTACATTCGGATAAACCACCTCGATTTGGAAAATTCTTTACAAACATTTAAACCAAAGAGCGCAAACATTTCGTATTCTTTTTCAAAAATCGTTTATTAACAGACCTGTTTTCTTCAATGAAGACGTAAACGTACGCCAAGTTAATTATACCAAAAAAAAAAAAAATTCAATATACAGCACTTGCCCCATCGCTTTTCTGCATTAAACTTTTTAGTTTCAACTTTATGTTGTGTTTGTCCGGGAGCGTAAGCTGGCGGGAGCCGCTACTCACCTGACTCTCTGGCCTGTCTTACAGTCTGTCCGGCTGCCCCCTCGCTGACAAAAGCATTCGAAGCATGCTGGCTACCAGCTCACAAGAACTCAAGTAAGATTTAACGAAAATCATTCTTTTAAAAATCTCTGCACCTAGTAGTAACGAAATGGGTGTGTCACATGTAAAGGAAAGTGTCTTTAAGAAAATCACCTGCGCCCGCAGTGCCTGGACAGCACGCACGACCGGGTCCTCGGGATTTCGGTCACCTTTCCGCACAGTCTCTCTGCCTCTTGCTTCTCATTTGTCTCTAGCTCTCTCATGCCATAGCCTTTCTGTCCTGAATTTTCTCAGGCATAAGTAGTTTCTCTCCTGATACGCATGCACACGGAAAGGAAGTTTGACAGAGGTACTCAAGCTTTTAGGAAATGATTATAACCTAAAAAATGAAAAACTGGTTTTTTAGCAGTCACTAGTTAATACGATCATTTAAAATATGGGCATTTAAATAGCACTGATGACAAGAACTCACCACGACAGTAGCCAATTCCCTAGGCATGCTGTGGTCATAGTTCCAAAGACTCTAGGACAGCGTCACCTCACCGATGGGTCCAGCCAGGAGCTCGCCAGCACTCAGGCACACACCCCTCCAGCCGCTCGCTCTCCCTCTCCCCTGTGCCTGTAACTCTTTCTATATCTTAAGCATAAATCTCATCACTTACATTTATTTCCCCAGACTAAGTTTTCTCTTCTTTGAAAATGCAGAACCACATTCAGTTCCGACACAAGTTTTGGAAGGAGTCAGTACAAGTCATAGAGAGTGCGTGAAAGTCTCCGGCGCTCTGATCGGAGGAGACACAATTCCTTCTCCAAGGATTCCACCCCACACCTGTCCCACTGTGCTACACCAGGGCTGTCTCAGAGTGCAGGGCTCTGTTTCACATCATGTCATTTTTTGCAGGATCCCTGTCCAAGGCCCTAGCGCCATAGATCACCTGCTCATGTTCAGTGACCTCCTGAACTAGCCCTTCCGTCACGAGACTCTTGGCGTTTTCTTCATGGCGTGTAAACACCCGGAGGGCATCCTCTTACTTAACGGCTTTAAAGTCTAGTGTCATCCACGCAGTGCCTAATGGACAAATAGCTTTTAGAACCTCAGAACGGACAGGTGCAAGAACACCTCAACCCACTTTGTTAAGACATCCTTTCTCACAGCTTAAAACCGTATTTCCCTCATGATCAAAACGTGACTAACTGCACATGGAACGTGGCCAACACATCAGACCATGGCACCTTTCCTTTGAATTTCTTGATGAGGAATGCTTTGCAAAGTCTGGCATACGTATATGCAGTTCCAGCAGGCCAGCCGTAAACAAGAAATAGCCTCTGCACGGCTTGTATGTAGGACTGCTTCTAAGTGGTTAGCGTCTCCACACCCCCAGAGGCCAGAGTAGTTTTCTGAGGGACCTAGGTGTTGTGGGTGTTCATCCCTTGACTTTGGGCTCGGTTTACGCTGCCCCGAAGCTCCGAGCATAGCCGCCACTTCTCTGGCTTCCGTCTGCACTGTCTTCTTCTCTTTCGTCTCAGAAGGTGGGTGAGGGTCCTCGCCATCCGCGTCTTCAGAGGCAGGCGGTCCGCCCTCCTCGTCCTCCAGGGCAGTGTTGGAGTGGTCCGTTCCCTCCACGCTGCCTGTTCCTGGATGAGAACTGATCTTCAGGGAGTGATGGCCTTTTCCTAATTGTGGTTCATCTGAAAGCCACGCTCATTTGTCAGCGTGTCTTTGCAACAACTAAATGCCATTTTGAGCGATCCTTTCTGGGAAATCTAAACTTGACCAGTTTTCTAAAATGGCCCATTTTTATCGGTGGATCTTCAAAACTACGGGTTCCAATTAAATGTCTGCTATAAAAACTCCAATATTTCAGCGACTGAGTTTTACTTGATGATAAGTCTTTCCCTGTAGCGTCCTGTAACGTCCTGTAACGTCTTATTCGATGACACCCCTCCACTCATTACCTTTAGTCTGAGTCACGAGGGCCTTGGGGATGGCTTTTCCCTGCATAGGAGCATAGGTTGATTCCTTAAAGATCTACAGCAGCTTTCTCTAGAACAAGTCACGCACCTGCCCCCTCAACAGATCACATACATCTTCAAATCTTCAAAAGGTTTGGTCAGTCTGTGCTGCGGCAGCCGCTTACATGACAGAGTGAGATCACACCGTCCATTGTAGGCGCACAATTCTACTTCTTCGTAAAGACCTTAGACGGGAGGTCCCACTACCCTCCCAAAGATCCTCTAGTGTGGAACTTTCTGGAAATGTTCCTCTTGTCACACTTGACACTGAATTTTGGTTGTTGGCCATTAACAGGACGTTTCTGATCATGGAAAGATGAGTTGTGCCAGATAAACTCTTGGTCTTGGATCTTCAAGCGTCTTAAACTTCCTGAGACAACACTTTGCTCCGCTCTTACCCAGGGCAACACATTGGGGATAGTCTTTAAAAGAAGTGGGTAATTTTATGTCTAATTATGTGCAATATGTAAACTGAGAATGTATTAAAATGTAACCTGTACGTGAATACCATTCGCCCTCCTCAAGGGCTGCTTGCCCTGGTCCCCGGCCCGTGCAGTGTAGACAGCACAGCGTAGGGGCTCAGGAGGGAAGCAGGGGTGAGCCCAGGAAAGCCCGCGTGCCACGTGCACACACTTTTGGGCCGATGTGCCGTGTGTCACATACACATCCTGCGAACCTGCCTCACCGGCCGTGACACTCAATGGGACCCCAGGCTGAAAGTAGGGGGGAGGATAGATAGAATTGTTCAAATCAGAGACTTTTCGGTGAGGACTCTGCCTAACGCGAGTTCTCATTCTGAAGGGAAGTCCCCTCTCTAAAGATTTCATGGCCAAGAGGACCCGAAGGGACCAACGGGGAAGAGCTTGGAAGCCGCCTCACATCGCTGTTGGCCTCTTTCCTGCGAAGCCGCGTCCTCCCGCCGGGAGCCGTCCGCTTCCAGATGCGCGATCACTGTAGACATGGGCGGCATGTAGGTGCCGTAGCCGTCTGAGCCTCCAATTCGAGCCAAATCAAAACCGATTTCAATCAGAGGCAATTAGCTCTAAAAACGGGCCCCCAAATTGGCTTCCATTTATACTTTGGTTGGCCAAATTTAGATACCTCTTCATTATTTGGATCTTTCTCTTAGCAGCCCCCGTCCCTGCCGCTCGTGAGCGTGGTGGGAGAGGGGGTTGTGGGGGCCGCTCACCCGTCCTTCTTGATGCTGGAGCTTCTGGTTCAGCACCATGGGGTGGGGGCCCTGCGTTTTCCTGCATTTCCCGGCGTCTCTGGGCATCTGTCCTAGGTACACAGGAATTGTAACCCCTACATATGCCACAATTTATTTAAATCAAAGAATTAAAAGTTTGAATTTTGGCCACGGTATTATTTTGCTTTGCAAGCCGCTTGTTTCTAGAATGTTCTAGGGCTGGTTTTTTTAGGCAGCAGGAGGATTATTTACTGGGGTCTGATGCAGGCGGCTCGTCCTGAGGCTTCTGTTGTCCGGCATGCACTTTCCCTGGGCACCAGTTCCCGTACGTAATCCTCAGTTCTGTAATGGTTTGTCTTCACGGTTTACAAAAGGGAATGCACAGGGCTTGGTGAATCACAGCTGCCCTCCACGCGGGCCTGGCTTCTCCCACGGAGGGGCGGCCACTGCTGTATGAGTCCAGCTTCTTGGTGGTGGCAGGGTCGGGCAGGGCTGTAGCCCCACCAGGCCCCTGGTGCGAGAGCAGAGCTCTGCCCACTGGGGTTGAGAGGAGCTCGGGAGCCCCCCCTCCCCACCGCACCTACAAGAGCGCAGCTGATGGGTTGGCGTGTCCCCTGCCCAGGGTGCCTGACGGTTCACAGAGGGCCTCTGCACACACTGCCCCGGAGAGAAGAGCTGGAGGGGTTCGGCCCATTTTCCGGGTGTGGACACTGAGGGATGGGTGTTTTGGTGGCTAGGCCTAGACCCACGGGCTGTAGGGGGCAGTGACAGCGCTCAGACCGAGTGGGTTTTGCACACGGCGCTGGCCCTCCTCAGATCAGGGGCAATGCAGTGGGAGTGGACGGCTCAGTCCCACCAGCAGCCCCACACGCACAGCAGCCACTCCCCCCAGCCCCCCAGGGCTGCGCTGGAGACCAGCCAGGACTGCTGACCTGTGCACACGCAGCACACACAGCTCGGGTTTTGTCCGGGGCACGTGCCCACCGCTCCCCCTGCAGAACGTACCTCAAGCCTCAGGGTGCGACAACTGTACAAGGTCTAGGACGTCCGCTTCCCAGCGGGTTCCGAAAATACCCAAAGGCACACGTTTGGCTGCACGTAGATTTTCTTATGTTATCGTAAGTAGGACTGATTTAAAATAAGTTAAATTTAGGAATTATAGGTAAGCACATTGTAGCAAACCGAAAATGAGAATGTTTGAGGATGACTCCAGGCATACACAAGCACACACACACAGATGAATACACAGACAGGTGAGCACACACGGATGTACACACAGATGTACACAGATGAACACACAGACAGGTGAACACACATGGGTGAACACACAGATGTACACACGATGTACACACACAGAAGAGCACACACAGATGAGCATGCACACAGATGAGCACACGGGTGAACACACATGGATGTACAGACAGATGAACACACAGACAGGTGAACACACACATGATGAACACATAGATGTACACGCAGATATGCACACAGATGAACACATACGGATGAGCACACGTGGGTAAACACACATGGATGTACACACGGATGTACACAGATGAACACATAGACAGGTGAACACACACGGATGAACACACGGATGAACAGGGATGAGCGCACAGACAGGTGAACACACACGGGCGAACACTCAGATGTACACATGGATGAACATAGGTGAACACACAGACTTATATGCAGATGTACACACGGATGAACACAGATGAGCACACAGACAGGTGGACACACATGGATGAACACACAGATGTACACATGGATGTACACACAGATGAGCACACACAGATGAGCACACGGTGAACACACATGGATGTACACACGGATATGCACACAGATGAAC